TAAACCGCATAAACACATTTCATTACACCAAATACACAAAATAATGTTCTTTTTAGCAGCATCATATGACCCCTTTAAAAGCAAGGACTCCAGACCCTTGCTTGGATTCGGTGCTTTGATCGACTTGATAAAGTGAACAATTCAGTGACTCATTCACCACACACTGATATAGAAACACTCACTGGTGTAGCAGAAAGATCTACTGAATGAATCATTTTGCTTAAGAGACTCAATAGATTCGACTCACTGAGATCCCTACCACTACTGACGTCACATGCCTCGCGGAGATACATGTCTCAAGTTGTTATTATTTACCATAATAAGCAGTACACATAAAAGCAGAAAATCATTCTTTTCAGTTCGGGACATTTTGATAGAAAGCTTAAATGTCTCCTCGCGAGAGTGTCCTTAATGACAACGTCAATAGGTTGTAAGTTAATTATTCACGTCGTGCAATAAAGAGTAGCTAAACAAAATAACTAATCCCTGCAGATCCTATGATCATCAACCTTCAGAGTTCTGGTTTCAAAACACAACCCACAAATGCATTCATTTTCATTTCATAGGCATTGGTGTGTTCTGCTCATCTCCAAAGATGGAAATGAAATCCCCTGTCAAAAGTGCAAGGGGATTTCCATAGTAGGCTACTCAGTATGTGGACAAGCTGGTCACATAGGAAGTCTTATTATGGACAGTAATAATATCCACTACTGTAGTCCCACACGTCCTCAAATGTCCGTGCTGGGTGTTTATAATGCTTCTGGAGACAATTGAAGTAGCCCACTTCTCTTTATCCCGGCCCATGACATTGTCCTGTCTGCAACATGTTCTGTAACATTTCTATACATGCTGACGCAGAAGTTTCATCTGTTTTCTGTTGAGTTAGGACTACAGTAGAAGTTTTAAAAAAGCCAAAACATCTTCAAGTGGTTAAAATGCGACAAAACACATTTTGGGAAACATTCCCGTTTGAAACTATTCTAAGCGCATCTCACCGAGCAGGCGCAGCGTGCTAAACATAAATACAGCATCACTTCATCACTGTAATGTTACCTGCTTCAACCGTATCCGTTAGGTCGTAATTAGATGCTGTCCGGGGGAATTCTTTCAGTTTTCTTGTGCTGAGGTTCAGAAATCCGGAGTTCGCCGCATCCTCCAGAGCTCTCTCCAAGCCCCGGTTGAGAGGCAGGCTGGTGCTGGAGCCCAGTCCGCTCAGGTTCGTCTGTAATGCGGCAGAGGGCAGCTGGGAATGATGACGGGGCTCCGGTCCCAGCGTCGCCATGTTCGCCCCGTCGGGGGAAAAAAAAGCTCGTCGAAAGGCTCTGCGATCGGTATATCCCAAAGAAAATGTGCTGGTTTCAGCGGTGGGTGAATTTCCTCCTAGTGCGCTATCTGACTGTGTCCATAACGCGTCTGCGCAGTTTGTTTATGAACCTGAGCTCGTGCCAATAACGGGCTCGATGGCCTTTACTTACAGCGCCATCTGCTGTACGCGAACAGCAGCTGCAAACAAATGGTGATGTTGAGCAGAATGCTGTTAGAAAACTTTACTGAATGGATTATAAAATATTAAAGCCTCACCTTTCGGGAATTCATGGTTGTTATACAAAATGGTATTAAGCACACAATAAGTGCATGCTCTCTATTTACTCTCATAATTATTTTTTTTTCTAATTATAACTCATAATTGAAAAAATGTCTGAAACTAAATAGTAATATGAAAGTAAAATATTAAGATTTTATATAATAAAATATCATTTTATTATACAGCACACACCAGAGTTTTAATTTATAACCCTATGTGTGCTGTGCTACAATAAAATAATATTTTACTCCAAAAGTTAATTGTGCATATACATTTTTCTTTTTTGATAGCTTCACATCCTAAAGTAAATTTTAGTCATTAATGTTACTCATGCAATTTAATTAATTAACATTTTTATGAATTGATCAGACTGAGTTAAAAAAAATAATTTATTAGGATCAAGGTTTAAAATATATGGCTGACTTGTGTAATTACATTAAGTGTACTGTAATGACCTCAATAACTGACTTTACCTAAAGGAATTTTTTTTTTACGTGACATAAAACGTATTAAACCGTTAAAACAATTAGGTTATAATGTTTGCACTTTATGTTTGCTCTTGCTTCAGTTATATATGGTATGCTTCCCCCATTAGATTGGTCATCTAATCAAGCAAGTTAGACACTGTTCTGCTTCTCTAAAGAAATCGTACATTGGCTAATATTTAGAGACTGAGGAAGTGAAACTGCTGGAGACTTATCAGATCATATCATAAACGAAAGCTGCAGCTTTTCTTCTAGTTTCCCGAACGAAATATGGTGAGTTTTACTGGTTTTTATCTCTTTGCTAGAGCAAATATCACATAATCAAACACGGAGTCTTTACTCTCAGCTGTCTGTCAGGATCATTGTGAAACACGGATACAGTTTACAACCCACACACCGTTGCAGTTGTGAATCTTAAAGGGATAGATCACCCTAAGTTTTATTTTCGATGAAAGAGTAACCTGTCATGCAGGTTTGGAACAACAATCATTATTTTAGTGATTTGTAGTTTCTCTCAGTGACATGTACTTAGACAGGATGATGGTAAAAAATAAACTAGACTATTTAACCCAAACTATTTCCCTTTATCCCTGAGTGTTTTACTGTTCTTTCCTCTCTCATCCTCCAGGCAAATGCGGGTAATAGCTGTAGCTTTGTTAGCTGGTTAGTGAATTCTGATTTAAATGATAATCACTCTGACAGCACTGATGATGATGATGGTATTTATGAAGATGGACTGAAGATGTGCGAATGTAACGCCCCAGTCGCTGAATGGGATTCAGGCCTGTTCGAGCCCGAGGAAGAGTACCATCTACCCCGGAGCAGCCCTGTCATATCCCGCAAGAGATATAACACAGAGACAGAAAAACAGTTTGGTCTGTCTTTGACACCTCCAATATGGGAACTATCTACCTCTCCAACTGTGAAATCTAACTATTCAAGTCCACATAGACTGGTAGAGTCCAGTCGCTCGGAGAAAGAGAGAAACCTTGATCACTGTGATTCACCCAAAGGCTCTTCAGGACAGACACAGTTCCTCACAGATAATCATGGCACAGGAATTACACCTGTCTCTCAGGACACTCGCAGCCACACTTTTGTTTCTGGCCGATTACATGAGGGTTTCCAGTCAAAGACTAAAAGAAGAGCCTGCTCTGACCTCCCACCAGCATCTGGTCAGAGGAGCTCAGACCAAGCTAAGAAACATGGATCATGTGTAGATCACTCCACTGCAGACCTCTACAGTCTGGACCAGGTACACTGTAAAAAATGATTTCTTGAATTTACTTAAAAATATAGTGCATCATTTTTGCAAGCCACTTTTTAAGCATTTTCACATGGAATCTCTAGCAACATTAAACCTCAGCAGTACCTAAATATTTAACTTAAATGCCAACTAACAAACATGTAAAGTTTTATAAATGACTGTATATTAACACCCTAGAGGATCCCTTTTTGTTGACATTTTGGGAAATCCAGCTTCTGTTTTAGATGTCTCGTATTATAATTTTGGCAACGTAAAGTGTGTATTTTTTATCATTGTTTATGTGCAGGAAAATGCTCATTTTGTAGTTGTGGATATGGTGCTGGAAATGCTGGAGGCTGTGAAATGGGTCGTGTGTTTGCAGCAGTTAAAAAACACTATTCCTCATCAAGACAGATGCGAAAAACAAAATACCTCAAAAACCGACTCAATCTATTCCTTTGATAGCGGGTTTGAGGGTAAGATCAGATTGAGTTGCAGCAAAGCCCTGTGTCATCCACATGTGATGTGGTTCTGCCAAATATCAGATAATGCTGACCTGCTCTCTTTAAAACTAACAGCTCATCGTTAATTAGCATTTACTTCTGCAGTATTTTACTTGTTTACTTGTTACTTGTTTTGTTTTGGGTAAGTGTTTTGCTGAAATCCACTTTACTGCAGTTATAAGTAACATTGTACAATAATGTTTAAATGTTAACATTAGGTAATGCATTTAATTAACATAAATATACTGTTGTTTATAGTTGATAAATATTTGATCATTTAGTAGATATTCTCTAATTTTCAGTGTCGTCTATGGCAACACTGTTTAATATAAACACAACTGGTGCCATCTTATGTCTCACTTATCAAATGTAGTGGATCAAGATTAATGTTGTACAAATAATGTAAAGTATTGCATGCCAAAGTATAAACCTTATTGTAAGCTGCTACCTACATTACCTAATTATAAAATAAATGCATTTGCATATATAGTCATAATGCAAAAGAAGTCACCCAACATGCAGATTGTTTCCTAGTTAGTGAATTTTACACATAAATCTCTTCATATTCTGATGCAAATTAAAAGAAAAATCATGTTGGTCATATAGGAAGTGTATTTGTTTCTCTTCGTTTTTAAATTTCTTATCTCTGCCAGACGACAGCGCCCCCAAACTATCTTCAAACAGATACTCCCTGGCTTCTTTTCAGAGGTATGCAGTGAATTCTGCACTTACAAAGTCATGTCACTGTGTTTGGTTTTTATGCATAAATTCCAGGATTGTTTTATTTGCAGTTGTCTACAGAGCTCCAGAATGCAGTGTTTTGCTGAAGATTTAGCCCACCATTTGGTGTCAGAGTTCAGGAAGCAGTGGTTCCCCTCTGAGCTACTGCAAAACCCTGACAACCTCAACTCTGCTCTGCAGGAAGTGAGAATGGTTATGCATAAACACACATTCATGCAGTGAGCACACACAGGTGCAGCCACAGAAACAGACACACATCTCCCTTTATCTGCCACATGCTGTACATACATGAAACATTTTAAGGACATACGGACATTATAATAATAATTCATTACATTTATATAGCGCTTTACATTGTGAGGGGAAATTAATAAATTTTCACAATATTTGAATTAGTGCTTTTAATAAATGAAAGCACACACACACACACACACACACACACTTCTGTCTTTTCCACAGGTCTCTGTCCCTGTTATGGCAGATGACAGGATCAGTCTAACTGAAGAGATTGTGCAGAAGACCAGAATGAGAGGAACATTAACCTGGGCTCCACCCAGATTTCAGATCATCTTCTGTGTCCAACCAACACACAGGTCAGTAAGACCACCATATCCACATTAACAGAGTTTATACATGCATGAAAGCTTGACTCTCTTGGTCAGTGTTACACTTATGAAAAACTTTAGCAAGCATTTACTTAATAAATATAAAGAATATACTTAAGTGCAAACTGAATGTAAGGTTTTTGTACACTTAACTGCATGTTTTTTTCACATAAATGTTTTCTAATTAAAATTTAAATTTCTAAACTTATTTATATTAAAATTATATGTAACAGGTGCTTCAAATGCTTTTTGACATACTTAATTGGGACTTTATATGTAACTGCCAAATACTGATTTATGGTAAACTACTGTAAGTAGTTTAAAAGTAGTTTCTACTGAAACTTGCATTTCATGTATTTAAATATATTTAAATATATTTGTAATTGGTCATTTGCAATGATGAAGCTGCATGGAATTTAGTACATTTAAAATATATTTACTCTAATTGAATATAGAATAACAAACCACAGTTAAAAATAAAATCAAATACATTTTTTACACATGCTTTAGTTTGTTTGTCAACACAACAAAATGTACATCTTTAAATTACAAAAAAGTATTAAATTAATTACATGATTTAACATTTTCTTTAAATCAAACTTTTCATTTGACATTATTACAATGCAGTGTACAATGCAAGTGTTTTAAGAAACAGTCATGAAAGTGTACTCGTTTCAATTACATACATTTAAGTGGTCTTTTATTTAATTAATATTAAATTTTCTACAAGTACAGTTTTTAAAAATGCATTTTTAAGATTAGAAGTACACTACAAGTGCACATTGATACAGGCATATTTCTTTTTCACAAGGGTATGTAAATATTTGTTTATCTGTTTATCAGGCGCAGTGATGTTATTGCTTCCCAGCACTTCCTGTGTGCAGGCTGTGGTACTAAAATCGAGCCCAGTGAGTAATAAAGCTGCTCCTATAAGAGCCATGTGATCCAAAGCTTTGAGTCCTCTGACATTAAAGGGATAGTTCACCCAAAAATGAAAATTCTGTCATTAGTTACTCACCCTCATGTCGTTTCAAACCCGTAAGACCTTCGTTCATCTTCGGAACACAAATTAAGATATTTTTGATGGAATCTGAGAGCTGTCTGACCCTCCATAGACAGCAACGCATAAACAATGTATGCGGTTCTGTGTCAGCTGCGTCACACCGGATCTATTTCCTACGTTGTTGGATTTGATCTGAACAGAAACAGCGTATCCGTGTGACGCAGCTGACACAGAACAGCATACACTGTTTACATCCAGCGGATATTCTCCAAAATGGTGCTACAGGGTTATTATCTCTTTAGATAATGATATTATTAGACATGATATTATTAGGAGATGAATTGTTGAATAAAGTCGTTTTTTTTGTTTTCTTTTGCGCACAAAAAGTATTCTCGTAGCTTCGTATAATTGCGGTTGAACCACTGATGTCGCATGGATTATTTTACAGATCTCCTTGCTACGTTTCTGGACTTGGGAACATTTCAGTTGCGTTGCTGTCTATGGAGGGTCAGACAGCTCTCAGATTCCATCAAAAATATCTTAATTTGTGTTACGAAGATGAACGAAGGTCTTACGGGTTTGAAACGACATGAGGGTGAGTAAATAATGACAGAATTTTGGGGTGAACTAACCCTTTATGCCTTCACTACTCTCTCCCAAGGGTATATGAAGAAGTTGCGGTATTGTGACTACCTGGGTAGATACTTTTGTGATGGCTGCCACAGCGGTTTGGAATCAGTGATTCCAGGTCGGGTTCTGAATAACTGGGATTTTGCACGATATCCAGTCTGCCATTTCTCCAGACAGTTACTGGACTCTATATGGCAGCAACCGCTCTTCAAACTTACAAGTGTGGCCAAGAACCTGTACAGTCAGGCCAAAGAGCTGCAGCGTTTCAGAGTGAGTGTTTCATTCTGCCCTGGTGCAATATTAATCACAGAATAATAATCATTAAAGTACTCTTGTTAAAAGTTACCTATTGTTTATTCATTGTTATATCTACTGTAAATTCTGGTCAGATGCCTCAAGTTAGCTCTGCAGGAAGTGAGAGTGATTATGCATAAACTCACACTCAACACAACTGTTTTTAATTACACTACTTTTCAAAGGTTTGGGGTCAGTAAGATTTTGAATGTTTTTGAAAGAATCTTTGCTTTTAATGCTCACCCAGACTACTTTTTTTTAAATTAAAAATGCAGTAAAAACAGAAATATTGTGAAAATATTTTACAATGTAAAATAACTGTTTTCTATTTGAACTTATTTTTTATTTCACGAGCAAGGACCACGCCACAACCAAACATGTAAATGAATAGTTTATTGTTCAGAATGTTAGGGATGAGTTGGATGAAAAGGTAAAGGGGATAGGATGATGGTCAGGTTGATCTGGGCGTCTGGAATTGATGGCTCGGAGAGACTCAGGATGGGGGTATCATCTCGTATGTATATTTAGGCCAGACGATTAGGACCCCCCGATGCAACCTGAAAAGAAGAAAAATAACTGATTTGATTAAAGGGGAGGGAAGGGTGGGTTCGAGAGAAAGAGACAAACAGCGCGGTGTGAGGTGGGCCGATATATGAAGGATTCAGGAAGTGAGGTGATTGGTAGAGGCGTGGCCTCGCTCCCGAACCTCAGTTAACTAGTTAACTCCCTTTATTTGAATTTATTGTGATGGCAAAGCAGAATTTTCAGCAGCCATTTCTCCAATCTTCAGTTTCACACGATCCATCAGAAATCTTTCTAATATACTGATTTGGTGCTCAAGTAACATTTATTATTATTATTACTGTTGAAACACTTGTGCTGCTTAATATATTTGTAGAAACCATGCTACATTTATTTTCAGGATTCTTTGATGAATAGGAAGTTCAAAAGAACAGCAATAATTTTAAATATACATTTTTTTTGTAACATTATAAATGTGTCACTTTTCATCAATTTAATGTGTCCTTGCTGAATAAAAGCGTTAATTAAAATCTTACTGACCCCAAAACTGAATGGTAGTGTACATAATGTAAAAAAAAATAAAAAAAATTAAAGGATTATAAGAAATCAGCTATTAGATATAAATATATATATATTCTCATTTTGTACTAGAATCAAAGTGCCTTGATGTTTTTTGGCCTTCTCATGAGCTTTTTGTAGAGTGTCTGTATGTCTTTTAATGATTTCAGGTCAATCAGGCAGCATTATATTAATTGTGTGTTATCATTTATTTTAGGAACTACAGGAGCAACTTGTATCCATTAAAAAACTTCTGAGCGCATGCAGACTATCAGCTGGGTGATTTACTAACCCTCTTGTTTCTGACCTTTTTAAAATCAAAGAATTCATAATGAACATTCTTGGCAGATAAATGTAGCCTTAAAACAATCAGTATATGATGTTTCTTTAAGAAAGTTGGGTGTTGGGTTTCTTTTTGACACTTGTTTCTCTAACCAGAGTACTTGACGAGTTTGAACAACTTCCTGCTCATCTGATACAGGAACTACACCTCTTCTCAATGCAAGACCTCATCAGGGTAAAGAAGGGTCAGCTCTGTACCATAGCGAAAGCATTGATGCAGTCTGCTGTCACTCACATCGACATATGTGAGGTTTGTACAGCTACACACACACACACACACACATACTGTATATATGAACAATACACCACCAGACAGCTGCACTTACTGTCATGTGCATATTGTTCCATGTTGATGCCCACAAATAAAATAATAAATGTATACATAGATAGTGTTTAACAGTCCTCGTCTCTATTGTGTTCTTCAGCTGTGTCAGGCCAAAGGTTTTATCTGTGAGTTCTGTCACGGGGAGGAAGTGCTTTTCCCTTTTCAGAGAGACACCTGCACCCGCTGCCAAGGTCAGACATCAACATACTACAAGTATTTTCAACAAACTCTGTTAATAATTACCGTCAAAGTCTTGAGACATCTGGAAGCAATGTTTTTGTCCACCTTGGGTTATAGTGCTTAATCATTTAATAGTCAGTGGAAGATGAGAACTCAATGAGAGTAAGCTGATATAAGGCCATTCCTGTATTTCATAAAATGACAGTTGCCTTGTACCTTGGATTTTTTCTTCTTCTTCAGACTGCAGAGCCTGTTTCCACATCTCATGTTTCCATGATGAATCATGTCCCAAATGTGCCAGACTGCAAAAACGAAAGAAACTTCAGGAAGACATCAAGTTATGAATTCTCCTACATGTCCCTCACTGCATTTTAAAGCTGTGTAAAAACATCCAGATGTTCAGAGCTCTTGGACTGTTCAGCTACTGACATGCATTATATGCTGTCATTTTGTAAAGCATAGATTAATATATTTTTCATATTGTTTGATGTTGTACATTGCATTTCCATTAAGTAACAAGCATTGCAATGTGTGAACACAGAGACGTGCCAACCTCTAGTATGTTCATATTTTGAATGGTTACAGAGAATCAGGATTCATTTAAGTGCCAGAGAATGTGATCACTCAGATTTGAAAACACACAGCTGATATTTGGACATTAAAATTCAGCAGTACACATTTATTCTTATTCCCTGACAATACAAAATGTTTTTTACCCTCCATTTTCCACCATTGGATCTTTTTCCACCACATCTCAAATTATATTTAAAAGCATTCTGTAGTCGAATTTACATTTTATATTATATAATATTAAAAATGATTTTTAAAAAATATTTTATTCATTATTATTTAATAATTTTATTTATTTTTTAGGATTTAAGTCTAAGATATGTTTAAGATTTAAAGTCTGAGTCAAGAGCTTATACAGGCAATTAAATAGAAAAAGTATTTAAATTTGTTGAAAAACAACATCAGGAACCTAGAAATGCTCAAAATTAAAGCAGAATCTTATTATTTAAAGGATTAATGAATCGACAAAAATGAACTGTCAGAAGTGGGATTCGAACCCACGCCTCCATTCGGAGACCAGAAAGCCCGCTTCACAGGAAGGTTTGAACCTTGAGTCTGGCGCCTTAGACCGCTCGGCCATCCTGACACGCGTCACACAGCACACTGAAGCCTTTCTGTCCGTTTTTTAGTAATCTATCTTGTACGATGGCTTCTCACTCGCATTTAGGGTTGCCACCTCACCTTCAGCGAGGCAAAAATAAGGGACACCCTTGCAGAGAAGCATTTCAGTTAAAGGTATCGGCCTATTGTTTTTTTTATTATTATTTTTTATTTGGATAGGCTGTTAATATAATATTCCATACATTATCAGAGCTTGGTAGACATAATTATTATATTCTTAGACATTATTAGACAGATGAATTAATAGATTATAATTCATGTTAGGCCCTATTTATTAATTTATCATTTATATTAATCATAAACATATACAGAATAAATCATCATATTTGTCATATACAATTTGGCATTTAAAAAGTGCTAAATTATTTAGATAAAAATGGAACAAATAATTACATAATAATGTAGTCCTAATTTAAGCAAATGAATTAAAAAAAAACACACAGAAATTCATCCCATCCAGGTAACAGCTGCAGAACTGTCAAAAAAAACAAAAAAATTATTAATCATAAAACAGAATGCTAACGAATCTCTATAATGAATTTATTTAAAAAAATAATCAGTAAAACAATCAAAAATAATCTGTACTAAACAATTAAAAAACAACGAAATCCTTATGAGCAATTTAATACTTTTTTTCTTCAACTCTTTAAGTCAGCAAAACTGACTCAGAATGCTGATCAGTGCCCAATATCTCTTTATTTCCCACAAGTCTAGCACACAAACGCTTTCTTACGCATTTCTCTTCACCCAGAAATGGTTTTACTATTCTGGTTTATAATCTTTTCATATTGTCTCTGTGTTGTAAGCGCTGTTTGTGGGTGCTGTAGTTTTGCTCTCATACTCTGCTATATACGGTATTATACACATTTTACAATGATTATTTTTTAAATAAATTCATTAGAGATTCGTTAGCATTCTGTCTTATGATTATGCACAGCATAAAACAAATCAAGAGTAACGCTCGTTCACAATATATAACAAACAACATTTTTGTCAAGTTTAAGTAGTTAACTTATGCACACAATAGCATAAGAAATGTTTCAGTCTACTAAAAAAAAGAAAAAAAAAGAAAAAAAAAAGTAGTGTTGTGTAAACGCTCCCTCTAGTGGTGGCAGGACTGGAGCAGGTGTTGTTCCCTTCAGGAAGTGAAATGAAACAAAGAAAAGAGCACAGCCTTTTTTATATTGTGAATTCGGCCATAAAAAACACAAAGTATCTGTTAAAGTCAAAGACACTCATAAACAGCCTCATGCAGTGTGTGATGGCCTCAGAGAGATGGGTTTCCTCTGGAGAGATGCTCATCATGTACTGATGAAAGAGCAGCAGGGGTCTGATATCAGAGCACTGTAATGTTGACTCTGATTGATGGCACTCAGCCGCGGCGAGGGGTTAATGAAACTGTGCGTCTCTCTTCCCCCCCTATCATGCATATCCCTTCATTTCAAACATTTCATGCTTGTCAGTAGTTTATTTCATTTATCTCACTCTCTGTCTTTCTCCGCATCCTCTAGTCTAGAGGGTTTCTGTACTCCTTGTCCTTTATGATTTAAGGTTGTTGTTTGTTTTTCTCTTTGATTGAGTGACCAGGAATAGTGTATGTGCAAGTTTTGCACAAGTTCTGTAAGGAAGAAAGAAAATGAAGTAGAACCCGGACATCCAGGACCAGAAAACTGGAAGTGTGGCGTCTTTGTGTTGGAGTTTAGGCCTAGCCTAAGTATGTCCAACTAAAGAAAAACTTGTCACTCTATTCTAGTCCATATCTCATGACACAAGCTGTTTGATTAACTGTATCGTTAATGACTAATCACATGCTTAACTGAAGAAACAGAGGCTGAAGATATATGTCTGCATGTTAAATTAGGTGCATATATGCAGTTTTTATATGTAGGCTATTACCTTTGTGTCTAAAATGTATCCACATTCTGTCATCATCTATTTGAATGAGAATATGTGGCTTATCTAGAATGTTACTTTATTTATTTACTTCTTTTGTTACATACTTATACGAAGACTTGACTTTCGATTGCCGTTTCATCTTCGCTGGCATGTACCAGTTGACAGCAAGTAGCCTACAAAATCACTAGCGCCCGTTTTTATTTATTTATTGCAAAGAAGAAAGTGTATTTCTACTTCTACATCTATGAACCAGCTAAAATACGATACATACACGATACATACACGCGCATGGGGCGGGCACTGTCACATTACGTCAAATGTAGATCAGGCATCGCGCTTCCTTGGTTACCAGCCTAGCAACGCCAATACATTTCACAAGCGGATAGGTTACTGACCGAAAACAGGTAATGTTAACAAACTAAACCTTTTAAACTTATCTTAACAACAACGTACAAACACATTTCCAAATAAATTATCGTGTTTAAGTTATTGCTCGACCTGCAGACCGTTGGACAGGTGATGAGCTGTGTTTTTATAAAAATCTGCCAAACTCTCTTCTCACAGATGTGTTGACATCTGCAAGATACGACGTTGCTTCATTTTAAAATGTGAAAACGACCAATTTAATTCCAGTTCCGACCAGTTCAATGTAAAAAAGAAAACCAAAGTGCTGAACATGGAGATGCCGGTGAGTGAAAAGTGAAGTTGTATTTAAGGCGAATAGAATATGTTTATAGTTACTTTCTCATGAATAACTTTTCGTAGAATGGCTCTCACACGGAGTGCATGATACACTATTAACTTACAACACAAATTCCTAATAATAATAATAATACTCACAATGAACATCTTCCTTTTTTCCCTTTGGTAAAAAGAACCCCCTCAAGAAACCAGATAAAACTGTGGGTCTTTTGCCACAGACACAGCAGGTAAAGCCTGGCACTCATCCACCATATCTTTTTAAGTCAAGATTATGTCTTCTCAACCACCAACAGTGGCTTGTAACCTTTAGGTTCAGTCAAAACCTCGGTGGCATGAAGCAAGCCCTAGCTTTAGACTTCAGGGACCATCTCAAGAGGACACCCTTGGCTCTTTGCTCTCTAGTATGTGATACAATGTCTTTTGATTTATGAAAAACATATACTATATTACATTTGCAATCCAGACTGTATTATCTGTGAGAACATGCTTCAAACTTCCCTTAAGGAGATGTGCAAGGAGCAGGGGTACATTGGCGTCAGACTCGTCATCGAGGTCCACAGCATGTGGGGACCAAAGATGGAGGGCTTTCAGGACTTTCTTACAGGCATCGTGGCGGTGTCCAACCCAAGAAGGATCGTGAGCAGTTTCGCAGTGCTCTTGTCAGCATTATTATGTGGGTTTGATTTGCATAAAGATGAGATCTTGATGATAAATTGTACCTGTCACATACAGTATAATCACTAAAAGAACCAGTATGATTTCAGGCACCGTGAAGATGCCATTGCTAGCGTCAGACTCGTCATCGAGGTCCACAGCATGTGGGGACCAAAGATGGCGGGCTTTCAGGACTTTCTTACAGGCATCGTGGCGGTGTCCAACCCAAAAAGGATCGTGAGCAGTTTCGCAGTGCTCTTGTCAGCATTATTATGTGGGTTTGATTTGCATAAAGATGAGATCTTGATGATAAATTGTACCTGTCACATACAGTATAATCACTAAAAGAACCAGTATGATTTCAGGCACCGTGAAGATGCCATTGCTACGTCCATCACAGAAGACAGCACCCCATCCACTTCGGGATCGCCTACTGCTGCAGAGAAGGACATTTTGGTAAGCAATGACCTTTTATCTGCATGTACATTTTAGTTCAGTTTCATTTCATCTCATATGTGAGGCATTAGAATAAAAGGTAGTCATTCCTGTATTAAAACTACTGTATGTCCTTATGCCGTTTGTCCACAGACATTGTGTCTTGTTTTCTGTCTTTCAGAGGTACTACTATTACATCCGCAATGGGATAGGCACAGAGGACGTGGCAGCTATGGAGGACTCTTGGCTTAAGAATGTTCTTGCTTTAGTCCCAGAACACCTGAAGAGTTTGAGTGGAACCATTGAGACTCTCTCAGATGAGATGAGAGAAGACTATCTGCTCAGTGTCAAAAAGGCCATAGGTATGGTCTTCTGTTTGGCTAATTTGACAGTTTGCAAAGTAGACACAGTAGCTTTATATATTTCAGTGGTCTAAAGCACAGAGATCTTGGAGAAACATTTTTCACTCAATGCCTATGAAAAAAATCTGATGTTTAGTCTAGGTGCTTGTTCCTACAAGATATATCTTACTGTCATTTTTAATAAACAATAAGTTTTAGTCTCTATGCTACTGTCTAAATGCCATGGCCAAGTATTGTGTGTGGTGTTGTCCTCTGCTCTCCATGTAGTGGATTTTGTGCTGCAAGACCCCAGAGAGAATCAGGAGTCCAAAGCTAGAGATCTCCCTGCACACAGACAGGAGTGAGTCCTGACAAGACACAAGACAAATAGAGTGTCTTAGGCATAAAACTGACCATAAGGCATTCTAGTTAATGGTGTATATTTGTCAAAATAATGTAGATTCTTGAAAGTAATTGTTTTCTTCTAAATTCAAATTTAGCCTTACATTATGTGATTTGTGACTTTGATGTACCAATAACTTCTGTGGTATTAGTACTTTAAAACTTTTTTTAATCCCCTTCTTCTAATCCCTACTAGCATCCTTTACTGTAGCAAGATTTGTAATATGCATAAAAAACAATAGTTCATTCCTTTTTATCTGCCAAAATGACGCAAAGCATTTTGAATTATGTTAATATTGTTAAATGGCAATATGAAAATAGTGTTATTGGTAAATTTAAAAAAGCCTTATGTTAAAAAAACATATATATATAGACTATATTGTCTTGTTCTCTTCTGCAGGAAGTTGCGCCTTGTTGATGTGGAGGTCTTCCACAACGAGCAGGAATCTGTGGAGCTGTCTGCTTTTCAGCAGTTAGTCAGCAAACACATTGAATATGCCACAGGCATCCTTCTCAAAAAGTAAGCACTCTCAGCTGTTTTCCTATACTTGTCAATTCATCAGCGACCACATGAATTGATCGTCCATCCCAGCTATCTGTTGAATTTTTCACGGATGAAGACAATAACTTGACAATGAATGATTTTGCTTACTACTCAATATTGCAGTAGGCAGTTACAAGTTGTCGACAGCTGAACAGAATCCAAATAATTTTCTTAAGCTTAGCAGACTGTACTCTGCAAAAACAATGCAACTCCAATTGTTTCTTTTCTTGTTTTGAATCAAACAGGTGGATACCAGAAGTGCAGCAAATCTGTTGTCTTGGTAGCAAGCGCAAACTGATCCCTAGTAACAGTAGTGTTGCTCGACTGCAGTCTTTCTACAACTGTCTGGCCACGCTCATGACCTACCAGCTACAAAGCTTGGCACTGGAGTCTATTCAGGACTACACACACCTCATTGCCCAGGACCCTGTAAGATCTGTAGCACTGTGAATTCTGAACCTTTTTTTCTTTGAACAAATATATTTTTTATATCACTGTGGAATCTTTTTTTGCTTCAGTGTATCTTGCAGAATGGAAATTATTCCAAAGCCATGGAATAAATCATTTATTCAGGCCCAGAAAAGAATGAGACACCAGCTTCACTCAATCAATCCCACTATGCTCGCAGTACTAGATCTGTGGCAAGTGTCTTTCAAGTAAGTGTCAGATGACCATGAAGAATGTCCACTGTGGGACAGGACAATTGAACATTGAAGGCATTGAACTGCATTGTAACAAATTAAGCCCCTTGTGGAAAAAATAGGGCTAGGTTTTAACACAAATTTCACGATTCGATTCGATTCTCATTCACAAGCTTGCGATTCGATTCGATTACAGATTCGATTACCAGTTCGATTTGATTCGATTCAATATCGATTATTTTTTTTTTTGCTTCAGTGTATCTTTTATTATTTACATTTTGACAGCCTTTATAAATCCCCATGGCCTATGAAATAATATGTTTTTTTTTTACCCACTGAAGCGGTCAGTGCGAGCCTATGAGCATCCAGGGTTCGTCCTAAGGCTGGTGCTGGATCAAAATACTATCAGATTTGAACCTGATTTCAAAGACTTTGAAGTCACTCTGCTAACTGTGTATGACATGATGCTGAAATCCTTAAGTTTGATCCCTCGAGTAGAGATGGAGCTGTACTCAGAATGGGTAAACATATGTTTTTTAAATTTTATGTTACATCTCGCTTGTGCTGTGTTGTTTGATAGCTATAATAATATTAAAGGGAACATATCATGAGGAATCAAATTTTCATTGATCTTTATAGATAAAAGAGTTCAGTGTACTTGAAAACATTTTATATGTTCAGAATTCAAAATGTCTTGCTCCAGTGAAAACAGACAATTTATTGAAACTATGTCACAAAGATTTTTCATTCTGAAACAGAACTCGGTTAACTTAGTTAACATATATATTTCTAGCAAGTTATGAATGTTTTGAGCACAAAAAAGTATAGTGGCCTTCAGGGAGAAGAAAAGTGTGATATCACTTCTTTAACACTGTACAAATATTACCCATAGTTAGGTTGCATCAGCTAAATATTATCAGCCACTATAACCAAACACACTTGTCATTCCTTCAAAAGGAAGACTTTACTCTGATTATTGTCATTTCTGTGTCATGTGTTTACACATTTATACTAATTCAAGCCTGGCCCAGAAACACATCATACTCTAAAGCCCATCATCTTGCCGGAGATCCTGAAGGCCCAGCAGGAAAAGATCACACGTGTAATACGCGCAGAAAGAGCTGAACCTTTGAAGCATGTCCGTCTTTATGATAAGTATGCTCCGCTGGTGTCCCAGCAAGCTGAGGAGGATGTTACCCAATTCCTGCAGGAGCAGCACTCCTTCCAGGAGCTGATGATGGAGGTGACACGCTACCAGCAGTTAGCTGATGAGATCCAATACAACACCCTGAAGGTTGATGGTTATTTACAGTCCACATTTTAGCAGCCTTTCCCCACAGAATTATGGCCAAAACCTTCATTTATTGTGTTCTGTGTTTAAGGTGGTACGTTTGGGCATGTTTGAAGTGCACTCCCATGATCTGGTCCGTGCCCTTGTGAAGCGAGCAGAGGGTCTCCTGCAGAAACTGGTCACTCACATGTTGCAGGGTCATCAAGAGTTCAATAGCAAGTGAGTCACTGACAAATTTCCAAAACATTTTTTCAGTAACCGGTTAGTAATCCATGTCACTGATCTCTAGGTTGTGTGAGGAATACGATACAATATCAAATAAAGCCCTCAGAAATCCATCAAACACACAGGAACTCATGGAACTTCAGGTAATACTGACCTCCATCTCTATCTTTGAACCTGTCTCTGTTTAGTTTCTGTCGACAAACAAAAGATCTTTCAGTACTGTATATTATTTCCTTTTTGTCATAGGCATATGTGATGAAGGTGGAGGCTGAGGAAATGCCTCAGTTGGAAATGAAGCTTCAGGAGTCCAATAGCAGGTTGTGTTTCTTGGTGGATTATGTCACATTCTCGCACACAGACATTCAGCTGAACAGCAAGACCTTCCAGTGTCATGCACGCATGCCTTCCGTCTTTGATCAGCACCGCCAGATTATCAAAGAGAAGACCAACCAGTTCCAGAATGGCCTGAAGGTACTAGAGATGCCACATGCTGGTCAATCAGCACAGACAACCCTAAAAACAATTGATCAAACCAAACATGGAAACATACCCTGGAAACAGACACATCGAATCTTCACATTATGCAACACTTTGTACATTACATAGTGCATATAAGAACAACAATTAGGGAAAACAATAAAGAACCTCCAAGCATGAGTGTTTATTCTATACTTAGCAGTGACAAAACATTTGAAAAAATGTATTTACCAGCAACTAAAACACAAAAAGTAAAATCTAAGCAGAAATTCAAACAAATTCACCAATAACACATAATTAAAACTCTGCACTTTGATGTTCAATCTGGCATTGCTGCACTATTACATAAAATAATGTGTGTTTTCAAATCGTAGTTGAGATGTGAGAGGGTTGTGGAGGATATCGAGAGCTATGAACAGCAAGTGGAGGACTTTATGACCTTTGGTGACGTCTCTGAGCTCAACAAATATCTGAAAAAAGCCCAGGCCCTCAATTCCAAACTGGATTTGGTTATGGAAAAGGTACTGTGTACTCTGGACAAAAGCATTATGGTTTATTTCACTGCTTCATTAGCAAGGTTTTCATCCACATTATATAATGAAACTTTGGGATATTGCATAAAAATGCAAAATGGAAATACCAAGATGTAAATAAAATATTATTGTCATTATGAAAAGCTCAAGCCTGTTCACACAATCTAAAGTGCAGGGGAAAAATGTTTAGGACATTTGTCAGTTGGATTTGTCAAAGAGTTTTAGAGTGCCTCTGAGAATAGCCGCTCTTATCGTTGCACCTGCACAATCAAACTCATTCACTCTTGTATCCATCAGATCAGAGGCTTCAACCAGGAGGAGGGGGCCTTTGGCTGGCCTGTCTCTCAGTACCCACAATGCAAAACTGTTCAAGACCATCTGCTCCCTTATCTGCGGCTGTATGAGACGGCGGCTGAGTTTCAGAATCAGCACCGTCAGTGGGTGAACGGCCCACTCTCAGCTGTCAACCCGGACAAAGTGGAAGCTGACGTGGGTAACTACAGCCGTTCCCTGTACAAGCTTGAAAAAAGCTTCCAGGACTCACCCAAAGCTCTTCAAATCGCCACCTCTGTGAAGACAGAAGTGGAAGCCTTTAAGGAACACATTCCTTTAGTGCAGGTAATGCTTTTCATTTGAGTCACTGTCCCAACTGTCCATTTTTGACGGTACCTCACTCTTATTGGTAGCTGAAAGCATTGTAAATTATATTTAATGAAGAACATGTAAGGGGCTGAAATCTGCTGTGCTTTCTGGGGAATTCTGAGAGTGTAGATTCTATGCCGGGCTGCTCATTAATTATGGGGATGATTTGTTTCGGCAGGTGCTTTGTAACCCCGGTCTCCGCGAGCGCCATTGGGAGGCCATGTCTGCAGTTGTCGGCTTCCCCATCAAGCCCTCAGAGGAGGATGCCTGTGTGGCCCAGTTTCTTCCACTGCATCTGGAAGCTCACCTCTCTGCCTTTGAAACCATCAGCGAAGGGGCCAGTAAGGAACACGGCCTTGAAAAGGCCATGGAGCGCATGGCTAGTGAATGGGAGGGGATAGAGTTCACCCTCCTGCCCTATCGCGAAACTGGAACCTCCATTCTGTCCTCATTGGATGAGATCCAGATGCTGCTGGATGACCATATTGTCAAGACCCAGACCATGAGGGGCTCACCATTCATCAAGCCATTTGAGGCCGAGATACGGTGAGAGATGAGTGTCTGTGCATATTTTGCAGTCAATATGAACGTGTATGCAAAATTAATATGCAAAGTTTATACATATAGTATGCATATTGTATGTAATTCTGGTTGGCCAGAATTGTAGCTGTCATATTTGCTTATTCACATTTGCTTATAATAATCATCGTCTAGAGCTTGATCATTACTGGGCCACAAGCCGGCTAAGAATTTCACAAATCTACTTCTAAATTTCTAGGTTTATTTACTTATTTATTTAAATCATAATATGTAACAAAATGTAAGTGTGTGGTGCAGATCATTTCATTAGTTTAAATTTTACAGATCAATTTACTCTATAAAGCACTGCTAAAATATATTTTAGTTTACATCTAATTTTCTGCCATATCGGCTGTAATTTATTTCGTCAGACAATGATTTATCAAGGAAATTTTACTAGGGCACAGCAAAACCTTACTGGGGCTTATACCTCATTAAAAGGGGTCTAGCTAGGATTCTAAATTTGCATGTGAAACAAGCAGTTTTTTTCCCAACAGTCAGGCTGAAAGGTTCTGTGCAAGGTAAGTAACAGTGACATTAGCATTTCCATTAGAACACAGTTCAGTATGGTACTGTTACGGGGTTGACAAGACGTGAGACGTGCGGATCCATCTGCAAGCTTTTATTTAAGAGACGTGGTCAGAAACAGGCAAGGGTCAGACAATGGCAACAGGTATATAGAGGGCAAGACACAAGAATAAACCTAGGGCTAGTGTGGGTCTATGATCGGCGAACAGAATCAACACGGCGAGACTAGAGAGATAAATCCAGGTACAAGGCAAAGGTCCAGGCAGGGGCAAACAGTATCCGAGTAGGGCAAGACGAGAGGGGGAATCCGAGATACACAGGCCAAGATCAGGACACGAGAAAACAGACTAGGCTAGGCTAGGCTAGGCTAGGAAGCTAACGAGGGCTCTGTAGAGTAGCTATCACTGCTGGCGATAAGCGCATACAATACTCGGCAGCGGGAAGGGATCAGAGTGAGTGTTAAATAGTGAGTGAGTGATATGAAACAGCTGTGTGCAATCAGTGCTGTGTGCAATCAGTGCAATGAATGATGGGATATGTAGTCCGGGGTGATATGCAACAGTATGTAGTGCGAGAGTCAATTAAAATGGAAAGGGTGACCTCTGATGGCTAGCAGACGGAAGTTCATGGACCGGATACGTAACAGGTACAATTACAAAATCGTACATGCACTAATTCCGTGTTGGTTTAATAGCTTTAGTGTCTCGTGATTAGTCACATACTTTGTAATCCTGATTTTGAAGCACCAAAATGGAAAAAGAGACTGTATCAGTGAGCCCAAATTGGTACAGAAAAGTGTTGGTATTTAGCTATTTGTCTCACTTGTTTACACTGTGTGTCTGTATGCATGTATCTCAGGGACTGGGAGGGCAAACTGCTTTTGCTGCAGGAAATTATGGATGAGTGGTTAAAGGTTCAGGGCACCTGGCTCTATCTTGAGCCCATCTTCAGTTCCCCAGACATCATGGCCCAGATGCCCGAAGAGGGACGACGCTTTACTGCTGTGGATAAAACCTGGAGGGACACTATGAAACAAGTCAGCCTGGTGAGTCAGAAAGCCCTACATATGCAGCAAAATATAAAAAAAACCTTGGGTTTGTTTATATCTAGAACTGAGAATAACTCTTTGAAAAAGTTCCTGACATATCAAACTATAGTGTGTTCATGACAAATGAGACGGCTATGAGACACACACCCAAACACAGTCACTCATCTAGAGACTCTTTGGCAAGCAATTGGCAAGCCCAGTCTCAGTGCTCTGAGAGACATCAATATCTGTTGTCTCTCCTCTAAACGAAAAAAAAAAAAGTCACCTGGCTGTACCGTCAAATAGGAATTATGGATTTTGTCTGGAGGGACTCAAATCTAGGAGTGTGCGGAAAACAAGGTCATTGAGCATCACGAGGCATGCTGCCTCCCTCCCAGAGGTTTGAAAAAACGAGTGTCCATAGTTTAAAAAAAAAAACCTCAGCACTTTTATGCGAGTTAAGAGGCACTATCCTAATTCATCACAGACTCTTCAGAGACAATTTTCTCACAGTTGACAAACACTCTCTGAAATGGAAACTCACTATAGACATATATTCTGTTCTACATGTATCTAAAGTGATTATGTCGATAAGCATGCTGTTGAAAAACAGCTTAACATTTCTTATTATTATCAATGTTGAAAACATTGGAAGCTGTGATCCATTATTTTTTAATGTTTTAAATTGTATTTTTATTTTAATGTAATTATTTATGTGTGTGTGTGTGTGTGTGTGTTTAAAAGATTTATCTGAAATGAAAGAATTAATTTTTTTCAAATAAATAAAAAAAATAAAAAAATAAGTACCGATCCCAAACTTTTGAATGGTAGTGTATACAGTATATTTTGGCATTGTAACTGTCATCAGCGATCATGCTTTCTGAATGTAAGTATAGGCACTGACCATCAAAAAACATATTGGTCAACCACTATTGATCATTCTGCTTGATCCATTTCTACCGGTGCAGTTACAAATGTTCCTGAAGCTATAGAAAGTGTCAGGATTTCTGTGGGTTTGCACTTTTAGTGTGGTGTGAGTTACAGTAATCTCACACTTTCTCCATATCCTCAAAGGAAAAGAGGCTTAAAGGTGACATTTCTGGAAGCAACATGATTTATTGGCTTGAGGAATATTGTTTGTCAGCAGTTAAGAGGATCTGATTTTGAAGTCTTCTGTTTTCAATATTCTTGCTGTTTTGGATTCGCTTTGTTGATAGATTGCTTTATAATAAAGCCAGACTGTGTGACTGAATGTCGGAAAGAACTATGGTAGATCAGTCTGTGCTATATCAATTATTCAAAAAACCTTAAGATGATGCAAGTTTGGGTCAATTTTTGATGTGCAGTGCTGCTATGCTTTCTTTTTCTGAATTTTCATGAAGAATAACTCTGAGTGAAACTGTATCGCTACAACTCACACTCTGAAATATAGTTTTACATGGTATTTTTATCATCTAGCTTTGAAACCGATGACTAGTAGTATTTATTGGATATTAGTAGTTTCAAATTGCTGCTACAAAGTCCCAAGATTTCTGAGGGTTTAGCAAATGCAAGAATTTTCACCTTGATGTAGAATGCAGGCTGGATGTAATTTACTCTAACATGAAATAAGAAACACAGCATTCACTCTGCAGAGCTTTAATCTCAAGCCTGTGATATTTATGAATATATCTTATGTTTTCATATAGCCTACTTTGGCATGTCTCCCATGGCAAATCCAACTGATGTTACGCCGCCTACCTAACCACTGCTGCCTACATAAACATTTAGTATGTGAGGCCTCAAAAGGAACAGGGAAGGACAAATGAAAAGCAATTTAGCTTCACCTCGGCCTCAGAAAACCCAATTTGAACCCCTTAAAACCCAGTATTTACTGAGGGAATTTAATTATAGTGCTTTTTCTTCTTCCTGTGACACTCTGGCCTAGTTTCTCTGCTGTGGCTCCCCTGTGCAGGCCCTTAACGTATAAGCAAATCTAGTTATATTTCACCCCAGGTATTTGTTTAATGATGAATGATGATGCCTCAAATGCAAGTTCAAATTGTACTACTATAGGGCTTTTGGTTTCACAAACTAGGAATGTTGGCCTTGGCTGGCCTTGCCTTTCTGCTCTATTACCAGTTCTGATCACCTCTCTCTTGCTTTCTTTCTCTTTATCTCTCTCTCGCTGTGTCATTCTCACTCGTCTTTTGTGTCTCCTACATTTCTATTATATTTGAAAGGGAATTCTAGCTTTACAGAAATAAAAAAAATCCGAATTGCAGCAGCTGTTTTGCTGAAGTGTGTATCACAACGTACTAGAGGGTGGAAGTGATAATGAATGAAGTTAGTAGAGTCACTGACTCAGGGAAAATTCGTCCATGCTATCGTCTGACAGTGTTACACATTTGAGTATTGCTTTTTCTCTGAACCTGAGATTTCTGAACATCTAGGTGTTCCTGAAGCATGTCACCTCAAATGAAATATCAAACTTGTGTTGGAAACAGGCAACAGTTCACCGTCGGCTTTATGTTCCAGGGTGCAGCCCCACCTGAAGAAGTGTTTTGAGGGTATTGCTAACGTCGTGTTCACTGACATTTTGGACATCACTCATATGAGGAGCAGCGAAGGAGAGGTGGTGGAGCTGCTGGATATCATCTCTACATCTAAAGCTCGTGGGCAGGTGGAGAAATGGCTCCTGGAGCTGGAGACCGGCATGCTCCACTCCATTCACAAGGTACAGAAGTGTATGAACTTTCTCTGAGTCAGTGGATTTCTGAATAGCAGAAATTGAAACAATTTAATTGGATTCGATTTAGTTTAGTCTGGCTTGTACATTAGTTGGTTCTGTTGACAAATCCTTTACACAGGTAATTGCTTGTGGCTGTACAATGACAGTTTTTGGTTTTTGAGAGAGTTAATAATACAGTGATATACAGTGCCTCTTAAAACATTCACCCACTTAGGATTTTTTTTTGAATATATATATTTTTGGAAGCACTTTGAAGCATTAGGGCTATATATTTAATTGTTTTTTTCTACTTATGAACGCAAAATCTTTATAACAACAAAGCGAAAGAAAATGCTATTTAAAAACATGCATAATGAACGCAAATGTATTTACAGCCTTCTTTTCAGACACTTAAATTTCCTCTCCACACCACAGAATTACTCAAAATAAAAACATTAAAATCTCAACTTTATTTACCTTAAACATTATGGAACTCTAAGGGGTAAAATTTCAATTTAGGATCATGGTTTCAAACTATACGAGTGGATGAATTTCATGTCAGTCTTCATATTCATGTCTCTGCCATTCTTAGAACTGTAAAATGCTAACTGCTCTCTTGACTCCTGGCTGTCAGGTGATTGGAGAGGCGTTTGAAGCATATCCCAAAGACCTAAGGATCAACTGGGTCAGGGCCTGGCCAGGTCAGACAGTGCTCTGTGTGTCACAGGTTTACTGGACAAAGGACATCCATGAAGCCATTGCAAAGGGACCAAAGGTATGTTATACATACATACAGTAGCAATATAATCTTTTATTGCACAGCTCTGTGGAATACTTCATTCTTATTGGTGATTCATGGCATTCTACTATATATTTGTGCATAGTGACCTGCTAAACTAGACAGTTGTCCACGCAGCTGATATTCTTTTCTTTTCATATAATAAAATAAATTGAACTCAGTTTAAAATTTCATATCTATTTACTTATTTGCCAATTAGCCATATAGTAGCCGGGATAATGTGTAGTCATTATCTGCCTCATTTTAAGTTGGGTTTATTTTGCAATAATGGCTGTCTTACTGTACTTATGACTGCATTTTTTTTCTGTGTTCTGATTCAGGCTCTTCAGGCCTATCTCGAGCAGAACAATACTCAGATAGATGACATTGTGACTCTGGTGCGTGGCAAGCTATCCAAACAGAACCGAGTAACACTTGGAGCACTGGTGGTGCTTGACGTTCATGCTCGGGACGTGTTGGCTTCTCTGGTACAGAAGGGTGTGGATGATGAGACCAACTTTGAGTGGCTCAGCCAACTACGCTACTATTGGATTGTAAGTCTATTTGAGTGTTTGTAAGTGTGATTGAAAATGATTTGTGTCTTGCTATTGTTTTGGACACTCAGATAATCTGCTTTGATTTTTTTTTTCCCCCTCTCGGCTCTTTGATCTGACCCTGTCTATGAAGGAAAACCAGCTTCAGACAAAGATGATCAATGCAGGCTTGGCATACGGCTATGAGTATCTTGGAAACACACCACGACTGGTCATCACCCCTCTCACTGATCGCTGCTATAGGTCAGAATTCTTCACATTATGCATAAAAAGCAAAGGCAGTAGTTTTCAGCGTGGCTGCACCCAGAGGATGCTCTATTAAACACAATAATAAGAAATGTTTCTTGAACAGCAAATCATGTGACACTGACGACTGGACTAATAGCTGCTGAAAAGTTTTGCTTTGCCATTACAGGAATGAATTACATTTGAAAGTATTTTTTATAAATAATTCTTCACAATATTACTGTTTTACTGGATAATTGATCAAATAAATTTAGCCCTGGTGAATAAGAGCATAAGAGACTTATTTGAAAAACATTTAAAAATCTTACAGACCCCAAACTTTTGAATAGTAATTTGTTATTTTCATCTCTCAAAATGAAACAATCTGAATTATCAATTAATATTATTAAATTCAGTAAAGGTTATTTATTTTTTTGGATGAATATAAACTCTGGCTTCACCTTTTGAACATGTCTTTTTTACCAGAACTCTATTTGGAGCTTTACACTTACATCTTGGAGGAGCCCCAGAGGGTCCTGCAGGTACTGGCAAGACCGAAACCACCAAAGATCTGGCTAAAGCCATAGCTAAGCAGTGTGTAGTCTTCAACTGCTCTGATGGCCTGGACTACATTGCACTGGGCAAATTCTTTAAGGTTAGTGTTACAAAGTCTATAATTATGATGCATGTCATGAATAGTTAGCCAAGTTATATGTAAATCTGAATTATTCAGCTCACAGCAAAATGTTTTATATTAAAAAAAAAGAACATATAATAATATAACAGTATGTGGCATTAGGTTAGTGGAAAATGCTAATATGAACTGATGGTTAATAACACACATGAGGTCAAGCATCATGTGCCTTTAGAAAAAACCTCTCAAACAGAACAGCACAACACTGAGTGACATGGCCATCACTAGGTCCCCACGGTTCGGCACGCATGTGATTTGCGAATTAACTATTAAGTTTAACCATCATAGAGTGAAAGTTTATCATTTGCACATGTTTTGTCTTGCCAATTTACACATTCAAGCAATTTTAACTCACGCGCTGTTTTCTATACGCTCAGCCGCTGCCGCAAACACCCCAAGCGCGCACACGCAGAGAGAGAGACACCGCGTGAACAGCGAATTGATTCCTCTTTCACATACACACAAAGTTATGTTAAAATACCTGTTTTGGCGAGTACTGTAGTAAACACAGTTGGTTATGTCTTAAATGAACGTAAACAGCTGCGAAAGAAACCGGATGTGTGTCAGTATTAGGTCCGTGCGTTTGGTCTTAAAGAGACAGCAGCCAATAAATACCTGCTTCTGTCTGCTAATCAAATAACATCACAGCTTTAACAGAGATTAATCTGTATTTAACTTGTGCGGTGAGCACTATTGTGTAATTTTACACTTAATTATTAAATTTCTGCACCTGAATACTACTGTAACTGTTATGTTGTATTCATCTAATTTGTGTAATTATTCTTCTTTTTTTACTGACTTTATTAGTTAAGATAGTAGTTTTTGCTGTGGTTGCTTAAAATAAGCTTTCAGAATTTTTTTTGCTGATCCGAAAAATGATCCGATCCGTGACTCAAAATCCGTAATATGATCCGAACCGTGAGTTTTGCGATCCGTTGCACCACTAGCCATCACTGGTTACTATAGTAACACATATTCAGAATGCCAGAATTGTTGAAGAAAAAAATGTTTGCTTGTAGAAAGGGGTTATGAACTTTTCGAAATAATAGTACATAATGAGATTTGTCTTGTCTCATCATGTCTTGTGTTGTCTTCCAGATTACTGACCCCACAAAAATATTTCTAATTAAATTGAGCTTTTCTAAATACAAAGTTCGGTTAGACATTATTCTGGGGGAAATACAATTTTTTATGATTTTGAACATTTAAAAAAAAAGAAAAGTAGAATGAATAAAAATATTTTCTAGTTCATTATAAGAATGACCATGTTAATTTTCTGTATGTATGTATGTATGTATAAATAAATAAACTGCTTCCATTGAAACTCAAGATGCTCCTCTAAACTTTGAGTTCTGTTGTCATTAAAGCAAAAGAGGAGCATATACAAATACTAAGGCATTTTAAAATGAGTGTTAAAGGGATTTTTCACCCAAAAAAGAAAATTCTGTCATTAATAACTGCACTCATTATTTATGAGGGGGCACGAGTGAAGGTGGGGGAAGCCTCGTCATGCTCGTCATGGGACACACAGCAGCCACAATAGCACTGTATAACTGATATAATCTCACACAGTGAACAAAACTCTGGCGTTTCAGCAATGACTCATCTGAATGCCTCTGATTGGTCATTGCATTGATAAGCTCCGCAGAATCGTGTGTGATTGGTTATAATGCATAGCGCTGTAAAACGCATCTGTCTCTGGCTCAGCGTCAGCCAGCGAATGCAGATTTGAATTTAGCAACTGGTGATGTGCTGCACTGAATGATCTAATCACACCGGTGTATAAAATATAAAAAAATATTATTCGGCTATTTTTTGTCTTTTAAAAGCTGGACTCAAAATCCTCTCCCCTTGGTTTCAATGGGCATGACGCCTGTGCGTAAGACCTTCGTTCATCTTTGGAACACGAATTAAGTTATTTTTGATGAAACCTGAGAGCTTTCTGACCCTCCATATACAGCAATGAAAGTGAAATGTTCCCAGGCCCAGAAACGTAGTAAGGACATCGTTAAAATAGTACATATGACATCAGTGGTTCAACCTTAATTTTACGAAGCTACGAGAATACTTTTTGTGTGCAAAGAAAACAAAAATAACACATTTATTCAGCAATTCTTCTCCGCGTCACCATCTGCCGCCATTAATGAGAGTAGCACAATGCATGCGCCTAGAACACGCTGCGCCTTGTTTATGAGCAGAGGAATGCACATGTATGCGTCATGGTACTTTCGTGAATGGCAGCGGACAGTGACATGAAGGAAAAGAATTGTTGAATAAAGTTGTTGGTTTTGTTTTCTTTGTGCACAATAAGTATTCTCGTACCTTCATAAAATTACTGTTGAACCAGTGATGTCACATGGACTATTTTAACGATGTCCTTACTACCTTTCTGGACCTTGAATGTGTCAGTTGCGTTGCTGTCTATGCAGGGTCAGAACATTCTCGGATTTCATCAAAAATATCTTAATTTGTGTTCCAAAGATGAACAAAGGTCTTACTGGTTTGGAACGACATGAGGGTGAGTAATTAATGACAGAATGTTCATTTTTGGGTGAACTAACCCTTTAATTTAAAAAGATTGTATTGGAAAATTTTAGATAAAAGCAAAATATAATTATTTTCTCTAGTGGTCTTAGACTTTTAGGGCACACTATATCTATATTTAACATGCATGTTAGTTTTCCTTTTAGGTTGGTATGCTAGCAAAGATTGTAATGCTTTTGCTGCACAGCCTCAGTACTATCAGGGAGCCACAGCTGTATCTTAATCAGAGAGCTTAGAATTGCAAAGGGCTTGCGTTTTAATGTCATCCTGCTCACCCTTTGTCAGTTATCTTGCAGCACAGGAGTGTTCAGACTACATCTGCTTTAAGTCGTGGTAAAGATACTTGGTCTCTTCCAGGGCTTGTTGTCGTCCGGTGCCTGGGCCTGCTTTGACGAGTTCAACCGTATTGATCTGGAAGTGCTTTCAGTGGTGGCTCAGCAAATTCTAACCATCCAGAGAGGTGTGTGTTTGTGTGCACATTTTGAGTTAAATGTTGACAATGGATTTTAAGGTTCAATCAATGGAGCTACAGATTTTTTTTCTCCAAACCCCCTATATGCTTAATAGATGCCTACATCTGAACCTGATGAGTCCAGTCAAATTAAGTGTTTGGATACTTAAATTGCATAAATCTGTCAGTCTAATGAGATTTCTTTTGTTTGGGTTTGGATGCGTACATTATTATTTTCTCTTCAGGTATTTCTGCCCATGCTGAGATGCTGCAGTTTGAGGGGACAGAGCTGAAACTGAACCCTACCTGTGCTGTCTTTATCACAATGAACCCTGGCTATGCAGGACGCTCTGAGCTGCCTGACAACCTGAAGGCATGTAGAGAACCTAATTCATGCAAAGATTTGCTTTGCATATGGAATGTGCTTACTTTTGAGTGTGTCATTCCCAGAGGAAAATAAATATATATAGCCTCACTGAAAATGATATATGAAAACTTATGTTAATGTTAACATAAGTAAGTGTGTTAGTGTAGAGAAGTTAGAGAGTACTGCAAAGTGTTACAGAATATCTAATGATTATTCTTTTTATATTCAATGATTTTTCATTATGAATATGATTATGTACATATTGTTCATTGAAAGTGTTCCTATAATGTTTCTTTATTTCTTGCTGTCACTGTTCACTGTGTGTTTCTGTCCTGTTTTATTGGAGCATATAGTGCTTGTTCTGTGTTTGTGAATGTTGTGTAATTGTCTGCTGCAGGCTCTCTTCCGAACAGTGGCTATGATGGTGCCAGACTATGCTCTGATAGCTGAGATTGTGCTGTATTCCTGTGGATTTGTCAGAGCACGACCGCTCTCAGTGAAGATTGTAGCTACGTATAGACTGTGCTCTGAGCAGCTCTCTTCCCAGCACCACTATGATTATGGCATGAGAGCTGTCAAATCTGTTCTGACTGCCGCAGGGAACCTGAAGGTAGGACCTGTATCTCCAAAAAAAAAAAAAAAAAATCCCCTTATGTTATGTTGCATTTTTATCACCATGCTATGATTTAAATATTTTAATCAAAAATAATATGCTTTAACTTTGCAGTGACACACATATATATGCATAGTTTGTGGACTTACATCTAAAATATTAATTACATAATATAAAATATATTAATTCAGCATAACTGATTAAAGTCACAAGAGACAAGAGAACTACTCTGTGGTGTTTACAGTTGCATTTCAAATCATGGCCCTTTATTTGCAACATTTGTGGCCTGAATCTATAATGTTGTTATTTGAAGAATCAGATTTCATTTTGTCTATGAATGTGAAGGCCTTTGTTGTTTTGATTTAACATCTAATTTCATTTAGTATCTAGATGTTTTGGCTCCTGCTGCTTCTGCTGAGCCACTGTTTCTGAGCGCTTCATAAACTTGTTAAAGCAATTCTGAATGACTCCCAACTGCAATTGGCTCAGTTCCTCTTCGACTGCCACTGTTATCAGCACAGAGTTACCAAGGGTCAGAGGAGTGAAACATTTCCACTTCATCTCAATTCCCATTGCACGCTCCACTTTTTGCCTGTGGATCAAAGCCAAATGAATCTGACATTGAATATAAATAGTGTTCACACTCAATTCAGCAGCCTGGAGAATTGCAGATCTGTGAAAAACACAAACTATTGAAACTGAGAACTTTGCTAAAACCTGTGTGACCCTAAAGAATTATGGGCTCCAATCAGTACACCTCTCTCTCTCGTCATTTCTAATGTGTAAAGAACAGAATGTGAGGAAGCATGATTTCAAACAGCACACTTTTCAGATTGAAATGTCAATACAAAAGTGCAGTTGTCATGTGTTACACTATAATTCCATTTGATTGCTAGACAGGCAGTCAAAGCTTGTGTACAGAGCACCATAGAGTATGCTCATTTCAGTATGAGCAGATCCCCTGAAGCAAGGCCAGAACAGTTATTTTCATGTTCATAGGTGACTCTGCCTGAGCTCATTCCTTGATCTTTGATTTATTACTGTTGAACTGATTTTCCTTAAAAGCATATTTAGTATGCACAAGGGAATATGCTCATACAGCTGTCATTTACCGACACTCAGACACTGAGAACAGCGGTGCAGCCATAGGCCATCAGAGAAGACAGGTCAAAGGAACAACTGCACTGCACACAATATGCCTCGAGCAAGATGAATGCTGTTTTTCCATTTACTCTACTATTCTGATACGACGGCACCATCTAAATAAAAGCCATGTCTCCTGTCAAGAGTCACACAGGCCACTCACTCCCTGCAAAGTTTTAGGAGTGGCAGCTGCATTTATTTGGAGGAGTGAATCCTATTGTTCTGTGTCTGAGCAGAATAAAAGAGTCACTTCTGCTATCCCGAACTCACAGTGGTTGACATAGTAACCACGGCAGCAGTTTGGCATCTTGTGGGTGCAAATAAGAAAGATGCCAACAGCTACTGTCCAAACTAAAGTTAGTGAACAAAGTATTTTAATGTTTAATGTTTTAATGTCCAACAATTGTTAGTAAACAGGGAACTGTAAATACACTTTTTCTTCTAGTCACATCACTGCATTAATACAATTTTGAAAGAAATGTGTACTTTTATTCAGCAAGGACACATCAAAATAGACTATAAAGAAGAAGAAGGATTTATTTTTAAAATAAAAGCTGTTCTTTTGAACTTTCTAGTCATCAAAGAGAAAAATATTAAGCAGCACAACTTTTTGTATTTAAATTACAATTTAAAATGTTGTCTTCTCAAATGTATCTACTGTATGCATTAGTAAAATTTAACTATACTAATACATTTATAATAAAATTTTAATGAATATATATGTATAGGATTCTTGAGGAATTTATAAAGCTGCGTCTACATTCATAGTTTTAGTACAATAAGTACATATTGTACTTGACAGCATATGTCCAAATGCTCAAAAATTTACACGTCGACATGTGTATGAAATCCTATGAACACTAATGAGATCAGGCTACCATGTTAACCCTCCCTCGAACCCTTTAGAATCAAAATTTAGGCCCAGTTAGGGTGGACAAGAAACAGCACTTTGGTACACTGATTCTCGCTTTTCATTTATTAATAGCAGCATCCTTCTATAACAGTCACAAAGAAAAGCATTCATTGTATTGTGACAGGTTAAATGTACATTGTGCCGCTGAAAATAGAAACTTAAGCCACGTTTCTAGCATTGGGATTAAGGATGTCACAATACCAGATTTTCACTACACTATTCTCATCACCATACGATACTACTGCAATATCTATAGAAATTTTGAAAATAATTAATGAAATAATGCTTTATTTTGTGTATTCACCAAAAATAAATAAATTAATTAACAAAATTAAATAAATGAATACAAAATCGCTCAAAATGCAAGTATAGGGAGATGGAGAGAGTGTTTGTAAACAAAAGTGTAAAAAAGCATACCAAAAGTACTGTTGACTGGCACTTCCTGCAGACTGGGGTGTCTGTAACGAGCTAACTTTTTCGGGTGTGGGTAGAGTTTCTTGTTTTCATCTGTCATCTCCTCTGATGTGATTTTGTGCAGCAGTAGTAGCAATACACTGTCTTCTTTTTTCTGTTTTCTAACGGGTTTCAACCAGCGTTAAGGTGCATTACCGCCACCTACTATGTTAAGGTGTCAGCTATATTGCTAATGCTGGATTTACAATATTATTGTATTTGTTGAATTAACATAACATTATTATGATATATAAATATTATATGTTTATCTTTTCTTTTTTTTTTCTTTTCTTTTTTTTATATCACAGTCATTGTCAGTACTGGTATATTGCAACAGTCTTATTTGGGATTCATCAGAAGATATCCAGAGCTGCAGTTGCAGTGAATTATGAATTAAAGTATCTATACTAGTTTGCCCTTGTTTCCTCATTGTTATTGGGTGGGCATAGTTTTAAAATACCAAGTAGCATCCATAGTGCATATACTGTCTTTTATCACTGGGAAGGAAGTGTACTGTTGATTTAAGAGTTTAATATTCAAAATGTCATGAAAACTTTTTTCATGATATGACAACTTTAATTAAAATGCTGTTATTACATGAATTTTTAGGGAGTGAGTTTATTATTTATTTGCAGAATCCAGTCACTGGCCTAAATAACTAAATATGGTGGATAAAACAGGACAAGCATTCAAGAAAGGAATGACAACTTGTATTTTACTGGAATGTGTACATGACTGTTACTCTTCCTACTGTGTTTATAGTGTGACAATAAGGTGCCTGAAATATTAAAGCCACAAAACCAAATTTCACAGAGCTGAAATGGGCAGAGGAGGAACCTGACCTTGGCAGCTCCCATTCGCTTTTCTCGTTTTGCCAAATTTGAATAGCACTTGCTTGTGTCATGTTTACTGTTCTCACAAATGAATACACCTGTGTCATTTTCACAACAATCTTTGCACCATCACACCCGAGACTGCACACTTTTGCCATCTTGAAATTACTTCTGGAGACAAAGGCATGCTCTAAACCCCTCAGGTCTGAGTTGCAAATGACTGTGATGGTAAAGAATGAGCAAAGACAATGTGGCTGAATGCCACTCTCTCCCTGGAGACCCTGGAAAAGTGACGGCACAAGCCAATCTTTTATTGAGTGTCAAACCTCTTTCTCTCCCTGTGTTTAACATGTCACAGCTGAAGTTTCCAGAGGAGAATGAGGATATTCTGTTGCTGAGATCTATTATTGATGTCAACCTCCCGAAATTTCTGTCTCATGACCTTCCATTATTTGAGGTATCACATCTGTATCAATATATTCTAAATATGCAGTCATTAAAATGTATGTATAATTCTCCAATTAATATTCACTAACTTATCAGTCATTGTGAATCTGTCCAGGGCATCACTTCCGATCTATTCCCTGGAATCAAGCTTCCAAAACCAGACTACAGAGTGTTGCTTGAGGCTATTAATGAAAACAGCGCTAAGATGAACCTGCAGGTCACTGACTTCTTTGCTGAGAAGATCCTGCAGATCTATGAAATGATGATTGTGCGTCACGGCTTCATGATGGTGGGAGAACCCTTTGGTGGGAAGACGTCTGCCTACCGCGTGCTCGCCGCAGCCCTGCATGACATCTGTGAGAAGGTGCTGTAAATGGACAACTGTGTATAAAAACTCAAAACGGTGTTGCTCAAACGGTCACAGTGGGAGTAGAACTTTCTGCATTCAGCATTGTATGTCTGTTACATAAGATTCAAACTTTTGTTCTTTTATCCTACTTATTGACTGTTTTCGAGTACTTTTTTCTTGTACCCAGAGGATGTGAACTCCCAAAGTCTCAAAGACTCCCACATTCCTCAAGCAGTTCCAACTGGATGTGAATTTGTATCACAATACCACAATACAAACTGCTCTTTTTGCATAATAGAACACTTAAAACGTCAGTAAAATGTTTTTATAGAAAGGAAATGTGATTTCTTGTGTTTTCAGAGAACAGACAACACATTTAGTGATGGTACTGCTATAAATCACTGCAGTGAAGCACATTCATACACATGCTGATATGATGCAATTGAAAACTGTGCTGCAAAAAGTTGTGGAAGTGTTGTGTTATAGTATCAATCCAACTTAACCTGATTTGAATGCAGAGACTGATGGAGGAGAACAGGGTTCAGATCACTGTTATCAACCCAAAGTCTATCACTATGGGCCAGCTGTATGGACAGTTTGATCCTGTGTCCCATGAGTGGTCAGATGGCATCTTGGCTGTCAGCTATAGAGCATTCGCCACTTCCCAGGTACATTTTTCATTACAATCATCTTATTTGTCCATTTATTCATCTATACATCTATCTGTCTATACCTCTATCCATTCATCCATCCATCCATTCATCCATTGATTCATCTCTCCCTCCCTCCCTTCATCCATCTATTCATCTATACCTCTGTCCTTTCATCCATTCATCCCTCCTTACATCTGTTATTACATTCCTTTAATCCCTCCTTTCCTTTTGTCCATCATCTGTCCGTTTTTTAATCCATACATACATTTATCCCTCCATGCATCCCTCCCTCCTTCTATGCATCAGTTCTATTATTTACTTCTCTATGCTCATCTGTTCATCCATCCATCCCTCGCTCCATCACATTTAGTGCACATTGTGTAAGATTTAGTAAAAAGTAATGTCTCTCCATGTACAGAAAAATCTAGATCCATAAATAGCATTGAACATTAAATTCACTGCCTTCAATCTAAAGCCATCTCAAAACAAAGAACATTCACATACAGTAGTGCTGTCTGCTTGAAATCTGCAGCTCTTATATTTTCTTCACCATGGTAACACTAAGCCAAAATCTGTGCCATCTTTTACCCACTGACTTTGATGTTGTTCTGAGTGCAATCCTACCCTCATTTACAAAGGATTACAGTTTGAAGCTTTGTTTCACCGGCTTACAATAGAAATGTTTACGTTAAAACAGTTGTTGGCAGAAGACATGGTAGAGCATTGTCTTTGGCACAGCAAGAAGGTGGGGAGCGAACCTAGATCCTCTAATAGCTGTAATTGAGGAATAAAAAGGAACATAATAAGAGCAGACAAGTGTCAAATGTTTGCTTCACACTTAGTTTCATATTTGATTGCCACTGTTTTTGCTGGAGGCTATGAAGGCATGTTACAAAATTGAGGTCGTTTTAGCGGGAAAAGCTATCGGTAGAAAGAACTAGGTTAAAATAATGCAAGCATTTTAAGCTTAAACAAATGTGACAGTGTTGAAATTTTAGTATAATTATTTTTCTTGTATTGGAGAAATGTTAGTTACCCTCATTTTTAACTTCAGACATCCAGAACAACTTTTAGAAAATGCTAGGAAAAATTGTCGTCTTTCATTGTTCTACAGCAAAAAAAGTAAAAGTGGTAAAAAAAAAAATAATGATGTGCAATTATACCTATTTTATTGAGACGCAGCCACAGCACACACAGCAAAGTTGAAGTTAGATTGTTCAATATGAGTCTGAAGTGACTGTCTTCTGCCTCCCCACCAGAGTCCTGACAGAAAGTGGCTGATTTTTGATGGGCCTGTGGACGCAGTGTGGATTGAGAACATGAACACTGTACTGGATGACAATAAGAAGCTTTGTCTCATGAGTGGAGAGATCATCCAGATGTCCCCACAGATGAGCCTTATCTTTGAGCCCATGGACCTGGAGGTGGCTTCACCAGCCACGGTAAGATGACCATTTCAATGACAGCTATGTGGTTCATCAAGATTTGTGGTCACATGCAGAATTTCTTCTGATACCGCAGCAGTCGAGATATGATATGTCACACTCTGCGGGCATCTTTTTTAAAAACAAAGTCAACATATGACAATTAATAGTAAATACAAAATCTAAAAATATGTGACCCTGGACCACAAAACCAGTCTTAAGTGTCAATTTTTCGAAATTGAGATTTATACACCATCTGAAAGCTGAATAAATAAGCTTTCCATTGATGTATGGTTTGTTAGAATAGGACAAGCCGAGATACAACTATTTGAAAATCTGGAATCTGAGGGTGCAAAAAAAATATTCAAAATATTGAGAAAATCGCCTTTAAAGTTGTCCAAATGAAGTTCTTAGCAATGCATACTACTAATCAAAAATTAAGTTTTGATATATTTACGGTAGGAAATTTGCTAAATATATTCATGGAACATGATCTTTACTTAATATCCTAATGATTTTTGGCATAAAAGAAAAATCTATAATTTTGACCCATACAATGTATTTTTGGCTATTGCTACAAATATACCCGTGCAACTTAAGACTGGTTTTGTGGTCCAGGGTCACATATACAGTCTGCTGCACTATCCTGCAATGGTGCAAACATGAAGCTTAAAACATTTGTGTTCTTTTAATTTATCTAAGAGGTCACTCCGTGACATATAGTGACATATAAGCGTGTGTTTCCGGTGTCTCGTCTTTGCATGCCTATGAATGGATGTCAATAGGAAGAAAAGTGTAGTGTGACCTCCCCTTTAGATTGTTCAATTACTTTATTCTAAAAGCCCTATGATTATAGTGATATTCTAAAGTGAATTTTTTTATATTCTACTAAAGAGATAAAGTTTTTATTTCTCACATTTAAAAAAATCACTTTGCTCTGGGGCTCACACATGGGCTGCAAATTTACTTTTGTGTCCAATTTAGTTCATAACAGCCTCAACCTTTATAAAAGCCTCTTTGCAAGGCCTCCATTACATGACATGCCATTACTGTGACAGGCTCACATGAAAGACTGTAAGGATCACGAATCTTATCGAAAAAAAACTTCATCCACTTGTTTCTAACTTTGGGATCGCTTCAGCAGGCATTTGCAATATATTCCAATAATATGTGACTTTAATATATTCCACCTACAAAGGCAAACCTACAGTGCACATATTTATTTCTTTTAAATACAATACAGTATAAAAATGATGAAATTTGATGAAAATATATCCTCACATTTCCCAACGCATTTTGTTATATCTTTATCAGACGAGACATCTCTAAGGCTGCCTTTAATGTTTTGGGTTGCAAAAAAAAGAAAGTAGACCATCAAATGAGATTGTTGTTGTCATTCAGCAAACCTGTCAAAAGAGGACTTACCAATTCACTGGCAATAACCCACCCACACCACGCTTACCCCCCTCTCCCAGCCTACTCAAGAATGGCATAATGGCATGTCGCAACTGAATTTCATTCTTTCAGAAACACCAACGCGATTTCCTCCCCTTATTTATCTCAGTGTCTTCTCCTAAGATGGCTTTGTATCTGACAGAGCTTCTGCCTCACACATCCCAGCCTAAGGAAAGGCTCTTATAGTTGTGAATCCCAGCTTTTTCTGGCCCAGTGTGGGCAGAAGCTCTGATTCAAAAGAATGGATGATGATGACAGAGATTAAAAAAGCATGTTATAGAGAAGGAAAGAGTGTGAAAATATCAAAGTGTGTGTGTGTGTGTGTGTGAATGTCTGCATGTTTTTTTTGTGTTGTTTGCGACTGTCACCAGATCAGATCAAAGTAGACGCCGGAGACAGAGCCAGAGGGAAAGAGTGAGACAGAGATCAAATTTGTGTGAATATCTTGTCTAGCTTTGACAGAAAACTAAAGAGGCCTGGCTATAGCATAAACCATCTCCCTTTGGCCCATATCTGTCTCTCGCAATTTCTGTCTTGCTCTCCTCCTTTTTATATATTGATGCTTGACTCATATGGCCTGCTGCAAACTAGACCAAAGTTCAATGAGAATTCAGTTGAACAAGCTAACATGCTCTCGAGGTCATGCTTGGCCCAGATGTCTCCTCCGGCTTAACACCTGTGCATAAGCATCCAGTTTGCAATTCACTTACACCTCTACCATTCACATGGGCCTTTCGTGGGAGCTGCTTTCCGACAGCTGTTTCCATCACGTAACCTTGATGATGTGCAATTCATCAAATCATTAAGCACAGAGGACCTTTATCTTTATGAGTAACCCAGTGCAGCTGCCGTGCAGATGAACAAAAAGCTATTTGTTTGAACTATGCACCATTCCAGATGGCTAAGTAATATATAAAAAGTTTTGTACCCTTTGGAGTTGTGTGTCCACATCCTTTAGAAAGGACTACAGTGGTAATGAGTGCTGTTTGCTTGCTTCTTGATATTTACATAAGTCACATTGTCTAGTCAAATGTTACTGTTCAAAAGTTTGGGGTCAGTATGATTAAGAAATTAATACTTTTATTCAGCCAGAATGCATTAAATTGATCAAATGTGACTGTAAAGACTTTTACATTGAAATTTCTGTCCATCAAAGAATCCTAAAAAACAAAAATGTATTAACAGTTTCCACAAAAATATTAAGCAGCATAATTGTTTTCAACATATATAATAATAAGAAATGCATTTCAGAAGGATCATGTGGCACTGAAAACTGGAGTAATGGCTGCTGAAAATATGTAAAAAAGAAATATATATATATATAAAAGAATTAAATTTCACAATATTGTTGTTTTTTTAATTGCAAATTAATTACATTAATTTTAATCAAATAAATGTAGCCTTAGTAATCATAAGAGACTTCTTTCAAAAACATTTATAAAAAATCTTGCTGACCTAGTAGTGTATCTGTTCTTTTATCAAGCTGGGACGTTACTGCTTTCTGCGCAGGTATCTCGCTGTGGTATGATCTACATGGAGCCTCACATGTTGGGATGGCGGCCTCTGATGCTGTCTTGGTTCAACACTTTGCCGTCTACTCTGAGCTCCATGCACAAAGACCTCATAACTGGCCTCTTTGACCGCATGCTGCCAGCATGTCTTCAGCTCATCCGCAAAGGCACTAAGGTACAGCTGTAACTATGCTGCAAATAATGAGGAGTGCTTTGCCACAGAATTAAAAGGCATCATTAATTATATTGATATTAAATTCCACATACATAAATTGTTATTCTTCTCATGTGAAGCATTGACAAATTATTTCAGCCAGTTCCCAATTCTCTTAAGCTCAAAATAAACCCCTTTAGGATGATACAAGACCCTTCAACTTTGCATTGGGTCTTAATTACTGGTAGCCTTGAGGTTTATTTTGTGATGATGACTGTAGATCATCCCTTAACTAATATTATATTTTCTTCAAACTGCCTGAATATTTCCTTTTTCCTGGTCTTACTAAAATTTAGGTAAAGCTGGAAGAAAAATGTGTGACCTCTTTTCATAAAAATGCAGTGATACTACAGAAAAGAACTCCATTAGTTTTTATATGCCATAATTATTACTCTGGAAGGAATAGGAAATTCTTGCATGGTCTCAATTAACGACAGACATTAAATACAGCATTTTCTTTCCTAATAATAACATGCTTCTGCAATTAGGGGTTCTTTTGTGCTTGCTTGCATGCATGCATTGAGCTCAGAATGGGATAAAGCACTAATTACATGCTTTCTTTTTTTAATGCTACTTTTCCAGACAGTCCTGTTTTGTCTCTTAGTGCTTACAGTGCACTTTGATTAATACAGTTTTTGTCTGACAGATTAGCACTTTCTTCCACTCATTTAAATGCCACATTTCTTCACAACCTTGTTTGTCATTTTTGTCTAGCCAGCTATTATTTATTATCTCACACAGCAAACCAAAATCACAGCATGTCTTGCGTACCTTTAAGATAGTTTTGCCCAGTATAATGGCATACCACTAATCATTTAGCCACGGGTTCTTGGTCCGGACTAATGGAGTGTGTTTTGTGTGGGCATTCAGGAATTATCTCCTACGTCCAACACGAGCCTGGTGAGGTCTCTGATGAATCTGATGGACTGCATGATGGATGAGTTCAGAGAGGAGAGCCAGATAAAGGGGATGAGCGAGAGAGATGTGTGCTCCTGGCTTGAGGTAAGGAGATAAAAAGTAAAAAAGATGAATTGTGGAATGTTGGACACTCAACGCTTGCGGCTTTCCCTATGTAACAGAAATCAATCCACACTTCTGCTGAGCCCGCACTGAGGCAGTTCACTAACAACCAAGCAAAATGTCTTAGCAGACACATAGTAGCAATGTCCTAGCAACCATCCACAACACCTTGCATCATGAAGGTTTGTTTTGCATAGGCACCACTCACATTTTCATCAGAAAATTTCAAAATCTAATTGTGATAAATTAGTTTGTGCTGGAGTTTTAATATGCATTAAAGGGGTCATATGATATTGCTAAAAAGAACATTATTTTGTGTATTTGGTGTAATGAAATGTGTTTATGCGTTTTAAGGTTCAAAAAACACATTATTTTCCACATACTGTACATTATTGTTTCTCCTCTATGCCCCGCCTTTCTGAAACGCATCGATTTTTACAAAGCTCATCGGTCTGAAAATCGAGGTGTGCTCTGATTGGCCAGCTATCCGGTGCGTTGTGATTGGCCGACTTGAGTGAGAGGAGGCCGGCGGCTAGAGTGAGCAGAGGCCGGCGGGCTTGCAGCAACCACATGTGATGACCCCGGGCTGGACTCCGCTTCGTCCACGGTGAAAGCCGATCCGGCGATCCACAGCGCAAAGTTGTTGTATTTCCTCAGCAACC